TTCAATGCATAAATAGCATGTGACATTTTAGTATAACTATACTAATTTAGTGATGTTTAATATTAAATTAATTTAAATTATAAGAAGAGACTTTCAAATTCAGGTGCACAAAGAAAATACTAACACATTCGTTCTAACCATTATAATTACGCATGTCAATAACTAGGTTTATTTAAAGTATTGTTTATTGTGTTTAGGGTTAGCTTTTTTGTTTAGTCATTGGGTTTCATACATACATTGTTAATATGTAAACAAGCAAGAATATGATTGGGTGATTAGAAAGAAGGTAACAATAGGAAGGCATCGATTCCTCCTTTGAACTACAAAAACTATATGGTAAATAATAATATTATATGTTTCATGTGATTTGCATGATGCCTACTCTTTCCATGATCAGCACATGCACAAACTAATAATAGTGAACGATGTCGTGTTTGTGGAGAAGAAAGATTTTCCATTAAGAAGATCATAAAAACGGTTCTAGTTACAACGTTTGTACGGTAAACTCGATGTCATGTTAGTGGAGAAGAAAAAATTTCATCCTTACTGAAAATGAAGTAGTATCCCCTGATATGAGATGACCAGACGCCTAAAAACAAAAGGAGTCGCGTGGATATATAAGCCTGTATAATGTATAAATTTGGAAGAGACAAGGGTAGTATGGTCAAGTTCTGAAGAAAAAAAATACTCGTTTTCTGATGACTATGAAATTGTTCGTCATCGGTTTCACGTTAAAAGTTGGGTTTCTATTACTTGAACTCCTTTCATTCCACCTTGCTACTCTATTTTAGTGTGGAGGTTTCTTTTCAATAAGCTTCCAATGGAGGATCAACTTCAGCGAATGGGCATTCTTATGGTTCCAAATCTGCCAATTATGTTGCAATAATTCTAAATCTATTGAGCACTTATTTTTTAAGTTGTTTGCACAATGTGCTTGGTTTTGTCTTGCTACTAAATTTGGCACTATTCTTCAGCTTCCAGACTCCTCAGATTTATGACTTGCATTTGGAAGATGCATAATAAACTGAAGTTTGAACCTCTTTCCTTTTCACGCCTTTGTCGTTCTTCTTTGACTTGGATTAAGCATGTTGGAGTTTTCACTCCTGGCCATGTATGTGGTATTTTGGGTAAGCAACTTTTAGTTTCTGTTGAAATCTTGGTTGAGTCTTGTAATCTCCTTTTATAATTCATGCTCTTTGGCATCCTCCATTTCCTTAGGTCAAATTGAATATGGATAACTTTGCTAAAGGTAATTGGGTCTCGCCGCTTCTGGTGGGATTTTCCGAGATTATGCGGGTTATTTTTTTGGTGGTTTCTCTTAAAGCTTGGTACTTCTTTCTATGCGAAATTTCAACCCAGAGCTTAGGACATCATACTTCTTTCTATGTGGAATTTCATGTTGTCATCATTGTTGCGGAGTTGGCCCATGTGTGAGATTTGCAAAATTTATGGCTTGAAAGTGACTCTCCAAATGTGATATCTTGCTTTGCTTTTCGTTATTTTTCTCCTCCTTGGTCGCTTCAACTCGTTGAAAAAATTGTATTTGTCGATTGTAACACATGATTTTTCATTGTTCTCATATATTTTGAGAAGGGAATGCACTTGCTGACAAATTAGCCAATTTAGGGATTTTCTCGTCTTCACTTGTTTGGCATGTTGCTTCTCCTATAGAGATTCATCCTTTTTTGCATTTAGAATTCTTAGGCATATTGACCTACATGTTTATCTCCCCTTCTTGATGTGTAATTTTCTTTTTCACCTAATCCTTTGGATTTTTTTTTTTTTTTTTGATTTGTAGCTTGTCTTGCAGGTTCTTACCTTTCATATTTTATTTTGGAAGGGGCTTAGTCATATGTCCCTCCTTTTTTCTTGTTTTATCTTTTTCAAGAATGGTACGATTTATGTCCTCCCCCGTTTCTTTCCTTTATTTTGTTTTTTCTTGTTTTATGAGAGGTAAGATTTATGTCCTCTTTTTCTAGTACCATCGAGAAACAGGGTCAAGTACTGAAAAATGTGAGAAAAGTGAACAAATTTACATGTGAAAAATGCATGACTGGAGGGTTGAGGTTCAACGTACGCCAGCTACGAGCTAGCTAGCTATATGTGGAGAGAACGGAAAGACCAAAGTCCCTTTCGTGGGGAGCAGGAAGAAATTAGATATGCTAATTGCTAACCATATATTCCAATGTATCATCCAGAAGTTTACCAAATTCAATGACTTTCCATGAGCCAATACTTTATACATGCGCATGCATGCATGGACAAGTAAGTTCGCAGGGTTTATGGTAGGTCTGGTCTACTGCAAGCCGGCATATCCACAGCTTACTTAGCAGCCATGCTCAATACTAGGTATGTATTTGTTAAGAGAGCTTATTTATTTTACAGAATTATTATTCGCATTCCAAAATATTATTTTTGTTTTAACTTAATACGTAAGAGAGAGCTTTTGCTTAATTAAAAGTCAAATTATAATAAAAAAAGGATTAACTAGGAGGACTCGGCATTGCTGCCATGTCATGTAGTTGATGCCTGCAAAACCATGTTAAAAAAAGGCTCAACTCGCAACAACAATAACATGGATATATGGCTGCTGCTAAATATGTGCTCATATGAACGACTAGGTTTATAAAGTTGCGAACTATTATTGTTATGTTTTGATTCATATGTTCAACCATATATTTAAACATTTGTCACTTAGTACTGCTATCTTCTTCACTTATAAGTTTGAAGTTTTAAATTCGAATTTTGTGAATAATGAATTTGATATCAATTTATTTCTTCATTCTTAGTGTGCGTATATCTTTGTATTAAAAATTATATACTTAAAACAATCATCATCAATTGGTCATATATAATTTATGGGGATATATATATTTAATACATTTATCATCTGACTGTTTAGGTAGTGATTGTATTGTAGCCAAATCTTATATTAATTTTTGACTTTGTAATTTTTTTTGGCAAAATGTTTGACTTGTATTTATGTTAGCAGACCATTTTTCTTTTCAAAACTCATTAGTTAAATACATTTATATTAGATTGCTTTGGTAGAAAATTTCTCTCTTCAAATATATTGGTGTAAGAAATACATGGGTGGTTTGTTTCTTCTGCGTCAACTTGTTTCAAATAATATTTGGGTTTTCCTAGTTTCCCTTATAGAAATCTTATATAAAAAGTTAGAAAATTTAGCGGAAAGTGACTTTGAACATCTAAGTACTCGTAATATAAACTTGACCATTATTTTATTACTCGTAAACAAATAAGCAAAGTTGTTGACATGGCTACAAACTAAGTTACATCTTGACTGACTTGTTATTATAAATAAATATAAGTACTCCTATACATAGTAAACTAAATCTTACTCTTAACAGACAAGTTTCGAACAATAAAAAAAACTTAAAATACTATTATTTTCCCAACATAGGTTTGGAATTTTCAATCAAAGTTCAAACTCTCAAGTATGCATTCTTATGACCATAAGCTCTGTTTTGCCATACCATTTGACCCGATGGTTAAAAGTACGCTAATGCCTCATGTGGTACCACGATTGCATAAGAGAAAAATTAATCTGTCATTACATGTGTGATAAAAAAATTATAAAAGGTTATATATGAAGTAGAAGGATTTGTATTTACCACCCCTCATTTGCTTGCACCACCTTTCTAATATATTTTTTGAATTCAGCACAATACACACATGATACATGTATTTAGTAAAATCAACATCTCAACTGTCATATGGTGAAAATAAACACAAGTATTTTTCTAGCAACAGTGTAGTATTGATAAATTCTTTATCTTTTTACTATATATTGGATGAAATCAAACCCTTAGCCCAATTTCTTCATCCACCCTTAGTGAATAGTGTTTAGACGAGTGACTTACCACATTTCCTTTTGAAAAGATACAAGATGCCATTCATTGAATAAAGGGCAGATATTCGTGCATGAAAAATTCAACCCCGAAAGAATTTGCAAACTAGATCCAAAAAATACAACAATAAAGCATGACTAATTGCAAAGTAATAAATAGACTTCAAACACTTTGTTGAAAGCTTAGGTCTTAGAAAAATCAATGGAATTGATAAATCTCAAATTAGGCGAATATTATGTGGGAACGAACTCTCAAATTGTATCGAAATAAGAAAAATGATGCCCATAGGCCTTAAAGCATCTCTAAAAGAGATGTCAAATTTTAAGAATAAATTTTAACTTTGACAATGTATGTGACACTTTGCTTTTCACCTGATATGTCAAATTAAATTATTATTTTACTACATGATATTATTATAATAAATATTTTAAAATAAAAAAATAAATAAAATGCATTTAATACTTAATTAGAAAAGATTTGAAGTTGCTGCCAATTGGCAACAAGAGTGATGGCTGCCAATTATGTCATATTACATAAGATTTGACTTTTCGATTGGAAAATATTGTCCCCGTCTTTTTTTACTGTTCTGTTATTGATGATTTGAACATTTTCACATATCTTTTGGAGATGCTCATGTTGCATCACTCAACCACCGCCATGACCTCATATAACACCAAATGAAGTAGATCCAAGAAAACAAAAGGTCATTCGAGTTAGAACGTTAGAACTCAACGATATTTCTAAAAGATAAGATGTCTACTATACGTTGTTATTTTTTCTTTTATGATGATAAAAAAAAGTAAGATAAGTGATAATAATAAATACACTCAATTTTTTTCTCTCATGGGACACATGATACATGCAAATCTACAAACTTTATATATAAAAAATAATAATAATAATTAAAAAAAAAGCCTTAAATTTACCAAAAGAAGAGGGTAGTAGAGTGCACAAATTACAAAACAAAATGAAGAGCAAAGGAGATCAAGCAAAAGTCATCAAAATCAACGGCTAGTATAGCATTGGGCCCACTTCGACGTGGTATGGCGCAACATAGGTAATGTGTAAAACCATACAATGGAGGCGTTTCCCCAGTAAGTATATAAGGAATGAACGGGAGGGACAAGCCACAGACTGATCTTCTTCCCATTGTTAGATCAGACATTTACAAAATCTCCACGATTTTACTTCTCATTAAATTTTGTTTTTTTGGGCAAATTTCTCACTACCCATTTCTCAAAATTTCAAATTTTGCAGTCAGAAATTCAGAAAAAAAAGAAGAAGTTAAAAAATAGAAAAAGAAGGTGAAAATCTTCATCTTCCCAATTTTACAGACTATATATTCCTCACCAGACCCTCCAAACACCTTATCTTTCTCTCTCTACAGCCTCTGTTTCTCTCTCTAGAAATATACATTTTTTTAATCTCTCACCCATCTGTTTGGTAACTGGATTTGTATTTGTATTTGGTAATCAAACACCACCATTGAAAGAACAAATACAAAGGTTGGAGGGGGCATATATAGAGAGGAGGTTGAACATGCCCTCTGTTCTTATTCCTAGAGTGCCTCCTCTCAGATCTTAGTTTTCTTCAAGGTTTGGCATCTGGGTTTTTGTTTAATCGGTGGGTATGATGAAAATCTGATTTGGGTTTTTTATTTTTGATCTTTTTCTGAATTGGGTATGTGGATTTGGATCCAGCTGAATTTTTCTGATTGATATTTTCTTTTGGGTTTTCTTCTAGATGTGCTAAATTGCGGTTCAGTATTTGATCGGTGCAGGATCGGCTGTTTCTGAATTGAATCCGGGATTACTTGTTTTCGAATCGGATTACAATCTGCTCGTTTGAAATATTTCATAGCAAGGTACCGGTCTTTCTACTTTGGATTGTTGTTTATATTAATCCGCATTTGATTTTGATTAAGTGGGTGTTTATTGTGGATAAAGGAGAGATTTTTATTTGAGCTGCTGGTGTTGCTTTGAGATTGGATTGGATAATTGTTTGCATCTCATTGTGCTGGAATACCTTCAGCTTCTGTTTCTGATATAGAATTCTATTGGATCATCTGTTAAATGCTCCTTCATTTCCAATTGTGTCTGAGATTGCGATAAAGTTCGTTTTCTTTTGAGGTGGATTAAGTGTGATTTGCGTTTGTGGATTTTCTCAAAGCTTCAATTGATGTAATACTTTTGGCTTGTAGGAAAAAATGCAATCCGATAGTGGTAAGTTATTTATTGGCGGCATATCTTGGGATACAAACGAAGAGCGTCTGAAAGAGTATTTCAGTAGTTTTGGGGAGGTGGTAGAAGCAGTGATCATGAAAGATCGGACCACAGGCCGTGCTCGTGGTTTCGGTTTTGTAGTTTTTTCTGACCCAGCAGTTGCGGACAGCGTCATAATGGAGAAGCACAACATTGATGGAAGGATGGTAAGCAAACTACTTCCGTTTGTTTGAAACAAGTGACTGTCAGTTACATTCTTATGTTCACAGTGTATCGTCATGTATCATTATGCCTTTTGTTTTGAATCACTCAAAATGTAAAGGAAAATTCATTTTCTTATAGGAGTTATGGGTCTGAAATTGTAATTGCAGGAATTCGTTTTTACTGTGGTTCTGTGTACAACTAAATTTCAAATTCAGCAAGAGTAAATCATGCTTCTCATTCTTTTATCTTTCCTTCTATCAGTTTTATTAACGCATTGCTGTATTATTCTAAGCTGATCAATTAATTTGTAGTGCTTGTATCATTTGATCTTCATTTTTAGCTTTGTGTTCTCTATTATCAGGTTGAGGCTAAAAAGGCTGTTCCTAGGGATGACCAAAACATATTGGGTAGAAGTAGTGGCAGCATCCATGGTTCTCCAGGTCCTGGCCGCACAAGAAAGATATTCGTTGGAGGTTTAGCGTCCACTGTCACAGAGAGTGACTTCAAGAAGTATTTTGAGCAGTTTGGGACAATCACAGATGTTGTAGTGATGTATGATCACAGCACCCAGAGACCAAGAGGCTTTGGATTCATCACTTATGATTCAGAAGAGGCAGTGGACAAGGTTTTGCTTAAGACATTTCATGAACTGAACGGGAAGATGGTTGAAGTCAAGCGTGCAGTTCCCAAAGAGTTATCACCTGGCTCCAGTCGTAGCCCTATTGGTGGATACAACTATGGTCTGAGTAGGGTCAATAGCTTGCTTAATGGCTACACTCAGGGGTATATTCCAAATACAGGTGGAGGCTATGGACTTGGTAGATTCAGTCCAGTTGCTGGTGGTCGTAGTGGATTTCCTCCATTTGGTTCTGGTTATGGAATTGGTATGAATTATGAGCCAGGCTTGAGCCCAGGTTTTGGAGGAAATGCAAATTATAATAATAATAATAATAATAATATGAACTATGGACAGGGTGGATTGAGTCCTTATTATATCAATAATTCAAATAGGTTTAGCAATCCCATTGGGTATGATGGCGGTAATGGAGGAAACACATCTTCGTTTTTCAGCTCAGTGTCTCGGAACCTGTGGGGGAATGGGGGTGGTGGACCTGATGGTCTTAACTCCACAAATTCTAATGCTTACATTGGATCAGGAAGTGGGACCATTGGAGGAAGTACATTTGGAAATACTGGGGCTAATTGGCCATCTTCAGCAATGTCAGCTCAAGGCGGAGGAAATAATGTTTCTAATAATAGCAGTAATCTTGGTTATGGAGTTGGGGATAACAGTTACGGTCTGGGAACTGGAGGTTATGGAAGAAACAGTGGTGCAAGTGTGCCCCCTACATCTTCATTTGCTGCATCAAATGGTGGTTTCGATGGGTCCTTGGCTGACTTTTACAGCAGTAATTCAATTTATGGAGACCCTACTTGGAGATCATCAAATTCCGAGCGAGATGGGTCTGTCCCTTTCGGTTATGGGCTTGGCAGCACAGCTTCTGATGTTTCAGCTAAGAGTTCTCCAGGTTATGTGGGTGGTTATAGTGTTAATAAGAGACAGTCAAACACAGGTTAGCGCCACTGAATTAATATGTTAAGCAACTTCTTTTTTTTTTTAATCTATTTTTTGATATGTTTCTTAGTTTTATTTTATTTTTTTGTAAGATAGGGAACTTAATTGTAATTAATTTGAAATTGACTACTTAGGATTTGATCCTAAATTTGTAGGTTTTCTGCGTTATGGTCTATGTTAGGCTTATTAGCTGAAAAAATATGAATAGGCAAAGCTCTTGTTAAGCTAATGGTTGCACTGCAAAATCTTATTGAATTTTGTGACTGGTCTAGTTTTGTGACTGGTCTAGTTAGTACAAGTGAAACTTGATATTGCTTATCTGATTGTTATACTCATCCCAGTTCATCAAGCTGAACTTATGAAGTCCTTTATCCTGTTCGTTACATTGAGCGCAATGCCTTTTGTCCTTTAGTGGCTGTTCACATGATACCACATTGCTAGGTTGTGATTCTTACACTAAGTAGTAAGTGTCTAGATGGTCCTTTGCTTCATATTAGTCCCCTTGCTTATTTTCCACGCAATTCTTCATTTATATCCTTGATAGTTGATACTGGCTGATAAGTTTGTTACCACAGAGATGGCAGCTTTGACTTTCCTATATTATATCATCTATAAAGACTCTTTTGGAGCCAGTTACGACAGAGTGTAGTGCTTTGGAGTCCTAGGCTTATTCAATTTATGCGAGTTTAGTTAAGGAATAGAAAAATTGGGACTTTGAGATAAAAGGAAAAGGCTTTGAATGTTGGAGCACTGGCGTAATAATTTAAGTTAGCTTTTGTTTGGTGTTGGTAGAAGTTGTAGCTGGACAATGAGCTTCTTGGCCACTTAACTAGATACGACCGTCAACCTCATGGTAATTAGGGGGACAATTGTCCCAGATGGGTATTGACTTTGCAGGATTGAGGAGTCAATCAGCTATATTTTATTTCATGTTATAGTGTTGGTAGGGCATTTCATCGATTTCTCTTCCTGCTTATGTGATTCTAATGAAACTTCTACTTTTTTGTTTCTGATAAGAAGATTAGGCAGCTTTCATCAATTTCTCATCTGTTCTTGAAGGAATGGCACTATGACTTTTCCGAGGGGATGGAGCTCTCATTTCCTTGGATTGTGTTTGTTCATGTTTTGTTTGACAGATTTTAGTGTTGCTTCTTGTTTATTGGCCGATCTGGATTTTTGAGTGAGCTTTCTCATTAATATGTTGGCGCGCGTGTTCTGGGGTCATAGAAAAGTAAAGTGTATGAATTCTTTTAGTTCTGCTAGACCATAGATCTCTCTATCACATTCCCTTGATGATTGAAATATCACGTTGATTCTTTAATTCTCTCAGCTAGTATATCTTTACACTTAACTAGTGAAATTGGGTTTTCATAATTTCATCTTGAAGGCAGTTCATTCGTAAGTATATTACTTAACGATTCTTTGAGTTTTATCTCTGTGTACTGTTTTCTGTCTCATGGATGCATTAGGATAGCTAACAAAGATACTTAACAACTAACAGATACATAGAGGGATAGAGAATTTAGTCAATAATTGGAATCTCATTTCGCAATCCACGTAGTGTCTTCAAATTTGAGTCAAGATTTGTTATACTTTCCTGCCATCATTGAACAATCGCAGTTTAGATTATAATGGTGGCATATTGCTTGTTTATCGGAACTTGTTAGCATAAGCTCTCAGTTGGCATCTCATTACTTTACTTTTACCCATGAGTTGGCTAATGGCTACTCAACTCACACCTTTGTAATCAGTGTCTGAGTAGGAAGTGGTTTGCATGAATTTGATCTTAAATTAAAGTTGTTGGTTGATTCTACATCGTATGCCTTGATTCTAAATTGTATTCTCTGGTGGATGATATTTCGTATAAAATGAAATCTATTTTGCATATATGTATATATATAACTGAGAACGTATTGCTTCGTTTGATTAATCTCTGATATTATGATACTTAAAAGCTCCTCTCCATCTGGCTTTTTTTCAGGAATTGCTGCCTAGGATCATCGTTCGTTGCTGATATCACGACATTGTAGGTGAAGATAATCTGGTGAAGCAGGTGAATTGTGAATTTTGCACACCGCCCTCGTTTATACATCTCAGTAAAAATTGGTTAGTAAGAAGAGCTAACTGGAGTGCTTGTTTGCAGAAGTAAAAGTAGAGAGATAGGGGTTAAGATGGATTTTGTGTTAATGCTTTGAGTTTGAGTTACCGATTTTAGGTTTTTTTGTTTTGGTCTTTGAGTGAGATGTAAAATCAGATTGCGGGATGTAGTCAGAAGTGTATCATGCATCTCCGGTGAGGCGGCGATACCCGAAAGGCGAAAAGAAAAAAAAAAAAAAACGAAAAATGATAGACTGATATATATATATATATTCTTCTTCTTCCCTAGAGTTTTTATCTGTAACATCTCTGGCAATTGGTTATGGTCAGGGAATGCTTTTTTTATATTCTTTTATTTTCCATTTTTCTGTTATTTTCTTTTTGTACCTGAAATTAATGTCGATTTATTAGTGTGAAACGTTTAAGGGTGACCCAGCTAGGGGACCCCATTAATAAGTAATCGCATATTCTGATTCTTTCTTTGTCTTTGATGACTTCGTATGCAAGCAATTTTTAAGATTATTTTGTTTTAGTGTGGTTATGTTTAATGTTTTAGGTTTCTGTTGACAATTTGATCAAATTGTCATTTTCTAGCTTTGTTGGGTGGAACAATGCTACATTGCATTCTAAGGTTATGAAATAGTATCCATTTACAACTCACGCTTGACTATGTGATTGTTTAATTGATGACGTGGTAAATGTGGAATTCGTTCTTGGGCGGATGTAGAAGTCGCATTTGCACATTGAGATGAAATTGTATGATGTGGGACGTAATTAGCTCTAACAACACTCTTTTTACCTCACACATCCACTGTTAATTTTTGCCCTTTGATTTTTTCAATCCGTTTGCCGATGGTCGGAATATGTGAAGGGGTAAAAAAGATGTGTGTGAACTGCATCACTCTAATTTATATCCATTTGGTGCAAATGTGGCCTCTATGTCAGTCTAAAATCATCAATCACGTCTTCAATTATTATAGTACTAGACGACCAAACAACTAAATGGCATGAATCAATACAATCTCATAATCTCAAGGTGCAATGGGAGAAAATTAAAACTTTGTAACCACTTTTTAAAAGACATTGGGAAGGAAGGACGTTTTATGGGTGAAAGCCATATCGTTTGTGATTTACAGATCTTTCATTTGGAAATCGCTAAACTTAGAAGGGATAAATTGGGGTTAGCCCAAATAATAGTGCTTGGCTGTAAGCAGTGTTCTAAAAGGTCTTGTCTAGGCCCGCCTAGGCGCTAGGAGGCCTAGCCATTGTTACATTAATCTTTAGGTGTTTAATAAATAAGAAAAGATGCATATACTCGCCTAAGCGTCTGCTTAGCTCATTTTTTTGCATTTATATTTTCAATAGATTTGTTAGATACTTTGATGAAACATTCATTATATGTTTTTTCCCAATGTTTTTAACATGTTCTACTTTATACTTTATATATCATTCTAATTTGTAATTTATGTTTCTCAATACAATTATGTATTTTTTAAATATAAGTAACACTTATTTATATGATATATAATAAGTTTAAATAAAACAAAAAAAGGGCCTAGAGGCCCCCGCCCCCTAAGCACTAGACTCATATTCACCGCCCGACTACCACTTAGCAATTTTTAGAACATGAGAAATGATATTCATACCATATTTTTGTACCACATTTCATACCACCTTAGGTGGCATTTGATTTGGACAGCCACATCATTTTAATTAATCAGATTTTTAAATTTAATTCATTATTTAATAAACTAATAATTAAGAAAAACTAATTAATTAAATGATGATTGTGGTATACAAAGAATCTTTCTCTTTCATTTCCTTGAGTTTTGCAAATTTTTCAAATGATGTGGCTGTCTACATCAGATGTCACCTAAAATGGTATGAAAATGTGGTATAAGAAGTCATTTCTTTTAATTGCAAATAGCAATGCCTGGATGTAAAATGTAGCTCATTAAAAACGTAAAAAGAAAATTTTTCATACTATTAAATCGAGACATTACGGTAGCGTGTACTGAATCTATCTAAATTACTTTACATAACATTATATTATTGAATTAAGACACTACGATACCATATAACATGTATTGAATTCATCTAAGTTGCCCTCTCCTCTGCACCGAGAGAAGCTTGTGATGGTGGTTCCTGATCAGGCAAAGAGTGCGACATGCATTATAAAAGAAAGGCACTATTTAAGTTTGAAAATCTTTGAAAGTAATAAAAAAGGAGAGAGAAAATCCTGAATGATAGAGGACCCCTAAAAGAGAGACCAACATTCCTTTCACACTCGTTTGCTTCCCTCTGCTTTTTTTCTCACTCTTCCGAGTTCTGATTCCGGCTAAATTCTCTTTGTGAGGATACCAAAAATTTGTAAATCGTGTTCATTTATTATACTTTGTACGATTAGAAATTAGTTTAAATACTTTTATTCAAAAATAAACATAAACAGTATTTGATAAAAACTGATCACACGATATACGATAAATGAACACGATTCACGAATTTCTAAAATCTTCATAAAGAAAATCGCGCGAGAATCCTGTTGGCACTCTTCCATGTCTCTTGTGGGAATTTCTGACAGACTCGGAATATGAACAGCCGAAAAGTTCAAAGCACAAAAAGTAAAAAGAAAATAGGAGGATTGGGTAATTGCCACCTTTTGACCTTTTTGACTCTGTACTGCCAGATCAATCTCTTTCAACTTTTTACATACTGAAGTTACTATTCAAGATGCAAATTCGACACCAGCAAACAGTGATATGAAAAGTTCATGGGTGGGCAACAATGCTGGATACCCAATTTTTAATTAGAAGTGATTTAAGTTGAATTTATAGAACACTTGCATTCAAATTCTGCTCTTGAATACTTATGATAAGAGTTTGATTTTCGTCTTTTTATATATATCAAGTCCTATTTTAAAAAGAAATATTTAAGAGAGTTACTCATAAATTCACTAGACAAACTCACTCAAAGTCGTTTTGATAACAAGTGGATATGATTAAGATTGGTTAAATATGATTAAGATTATTCCAAAGTTTTACCTAGTAATTGGCTGGAAAAAAAATCTTTTGTTAAGTGTGAGATACAGGTTGGCATACACCCAAGTAGTTGTTCTATCATCAAGTATATCTAAAAGATTGAAAGCTAATCAATTAATGTCAAGATGGCCGAGTTGGTCTAAGGCGCCAGTTTCAGGTACTGGTCCGAAAGGGCATGGGTTCGAATCCCATTCTTGACAAATATTTTTTGTAATTTTCTGTCAAGCCCGTATTATTATTGTCCACTGTTAATGTAATATGTAGGTTAATTATATCACTTGATTGCGTGGCAAATTATTTTGATGTATTTTTTTTTACCATTAATATATTATAGGTTAGAAAAGTAGTTACTCCTTTAGCTTTGTGGGAAAATACTTACCCTTATTAGCTCATTATAACACTTGAATCAATAATATCACGTTAAAATATTTCTCCTTAAAAAAATAGTAAAATCAGGTAAAATCGTTAATAATTTAAGATTATTTTTTTGTTTATGTGTAGCGCATAACTTAGTAACATCATATGACGGTTTATGTAAAAACAACATTAGAAATTTATTCAAGATTACAGAAGGAAAATCATGTAAAAATGACAAAAAAAAATTTGGACCATTTCTCGATTTATGCGTGTCATCCTTGCACAGGGGCCATGCTAATCTTCTCTGTATCGTTCCAATTTTATCGGATGTCCCCGAAGGGACAAGCCCTGACGTCAAGAAAGAGTATATAAAGTCGTTTAGAAACCATGTTTTGGCCGATGTGGGACGTTGGCTTCCGTTCTTTTAATAGTCAACTTTACTTCCCACCTTGGGCTTTCCTCAGTGGACTGAGTATCCTTAGTCATAAACCCAATGAAGCAATCAAGTATCGAGTAAAACTGTGAAAGGTAGACAAGTTTTGTACCTAAACAACCTAAGAATCTAAGATTTCTTCCTTAAAGATTAAACAAATTGAGTTAGATAGTTGTTAACCCAGATCGAAAGAATTGGAGAGTACCAAGGGTAAAAAACCCGACTTGTAAAGTAGTTGAGTGAAGCCTTGGTAATGGAATAACATCAACAACAACTTTGTCCATGATCTCACCTCTTTACAAAAATATGAAGGAAAAAAAAAAAAAAAGCAAACCAAAATTGCAGCTATAAATATGATTCTTGAAATTATGACATCAAAACAAGAACAAAGAATTATCCTCACACATTAATTAAAAAAAAAAAAAAAATCCTCTAAGTCGACCTTCAGACAAACAACTTGTGTTCGTGGATTGATAAATTTCCATGTGGGAGAAGCATTATTCAATACTGTGATGCCTCTGATCATCTGAAGATTCCGCTGCCCTTATCCGACGCTCCAAATATACCTTCCCTCCTCATCTTCTCCTCCTTTGATTTTCTACAAAAAACCACCCAAGAATTCACCTCCAAAGCAATGCAAACCCCAATCAGTGTAGACAATCCCAAGCAATAAACCAGTTTCGCAAAAGACCTCCCTTCTCCCATCACCTCAAAACCTTGGAAAACATTCACCACACCCAGCACCACACATGCATACCCAACTAAATGGTGGTAAGATTTCCAGTACTTCCTGTACTTGTTTGTAGTTTTAGGTCGAAACAGTAGTGCTAGGGTTTGAAGCGCTCCCAAGCAAAATGCTGCAAACCCTAGCTTCCTGTGGAGCCCATACTGGACCCCAGGTGACATATCCCCAAGCCTAATCCCAATAGCAAACCCTACAGTCCCTAGGAAAAAGGCAAACAGTTGGACCCCAGCGTGCACATAGAACCATGTGGGACCTAATGATTGTATGTGCCTGAGGTAGCGTGCAAGCACTGCTCCAATGGGAAGCATGATGCCCCATGCAATGGCGTTCATGATGCCATGCACTGTTCTGAGTGTGCCAATGTTGGAGTGGTGTGTGGCCGTAGTGCCTGACATGACATCAAATGTTGTTATGGATGAAAGGTCGTTAGCGGTGGTTGGGTGTATGGTCGGCGAGTAGCCTTGGACGTAGAGACCACGGTTCCACACGTGGTGGAGCTTTGTCTTGTTTGGCGTGAGTTTCAATGTAGCGAATATTTGGATGGAAGCGCCGCCGTGGACGGTGGCCAATTTTCCACCGTATAGGGTGGCAGACGAGGAGAGAATGTGGATGTCAAGAGGGCGGGAGAGGAGAGGGCGTTTTTGGAGCTTTGTGGTTGGGTCTAAGAGGTAAGGGAGGACGACTATTTGACCGGTGCTAGGGTCCGGAAAGGCGATCAGAGCACGTGTGCCAGTCATTTCCGCAGAGGTCGGGTTGATGCCCCACCCGACCCACCCGGAAGGGGATATGAAAGTACCATAGAAAACAAGGTCTAGGGTGGCATTGTGGGGATGGAAAGTCCATGCTATGGAGGCTTGTTGGGTAGGGAGTGTGATGCATTTTTGAAAGGTTTTAGTGGAGGTGGTGGTGGTGCAATGGGCAGAAAATGTGACATAGGGAAAGGAAAAGAGAAGGAAAAGGGACAGGAGGAAGAGCATATTGATGGCTGGGAACAAGGGTTGAATATCAAAGAGAGTGGAAGCTAGGGATGTAGAATTGGTTGGCAAGCTTTTGTTAACATTTAAGTGTTTGGTATTGAGGTTGATGTAATTGATCATCATGGCTGTGGAGAACTTATGTGTTTACTAAGCACTGCTTAGCTTTGAGGTTAAGGCAACCAAAGTGTTTGTTTGGTGGAGTAGAAAATGATGCTTCAAGTGGAAGTGGAGGTGTTTTTTTCTGATGAATTATGATGGCTAAAAATATTTCAAGGATTGTGCTTGGCTTTGAAGCAAGGGAATTTTGATTACTTTATCCTAGAGAGCATCATTATATAGAAAGTAGACGCTTGAGCACAATTATATATTTCATTTGCTTAACTCAATTAATCAGATCATCACCCAAAGGGCCAAAGACGTTTTCTTTTGGCTAATTCCTTGCCAAAGTTAATCCCTTTTGTCTAATTGCCAATTGGTTCTCATTTTCTTTCCTTGAGTGAAAATTACTTGCAATTTATATACTACTTATACTGCATGTGGTTCAATATTTTAGTGGATAAAATGTTGAGTTTCTATCAATGCGTCTCGGGTTCGAAACTTCCCCCTCCTTTAAATTATTGTATTGATCCTAAGTAGAAGCAGGGCCAAACGAGGCTAAGGCTACCTTCCGTCCTCGACCAATCATACATTTGGGAGCGAGGCATTTGTGTATATTCATTTGATTTCGATCAGCAACTGAGTGAATCCGTCTCCATTGCCTAAGGTTCGCAAAGTAAAAGCAAATAGTTTCGAACTCTCCTCTCCTAATAGTAAAAAAACTTTAAAAATATGTATATACTACTCGTACTAGAATCACCATTCCTAGAGGGCGTTATGTCCAATTAGTTAACCATGATTAAGGAATTTAATTCATATATAAATAATATTATTAAGATAAGAAAAAAAATTTAAATTACACTTCTTTCCAAATTTGTTTCAATCAAATATAGAGATTTGTTAAGGGTTACTTTTACCTAGGAAAATTTGAGTTGTTATTGGGGTGGGCCTTGGTAACTAACGTGGTGGCTGACAGTCTTCCCCAGCTCTACTCCCTTCATTCTTTTTCTTTTGTCAAAAATTGTAATCGCTACTTATTAATAAAGCCTCTTTGTTAACCAAACAAGACGAAAGATAATTTAATCGTATATTACAAAAAAATGATTGAAGTAATGCAATTTTGTACAAACTAAATTTTGTTGTATATTTTTTCTTCTTTCACTCACATATCATGACGTCATATCGCAAACCTCTCTTGCCTCCCACATTTTCTCTCCGTTACTCCCTCTCTCTTTCACATTTATCTCCAACTCTCTCTTCCATATATTTTCCAAAGAAATAAAAGAAATAAAAAAAAACAAAATCTAAAAGCCAACTTCTTGTGGTTGAGAGAAAGAACTTTGACTTGTATTAGTCTTTCTAACCAAACGGCGTCGTCGGGGGTTAACTAATCTTTGTCATTGTGACGGTCAGTTTGTACGTGCGAGTGTGAGAGATAGGAAGGGAAACCAGCGATGGAGCGAGAGAAAGAGAAAGTGAGCTTGGAGGGAGGGAGAGTGATACTGGTCCCGTACATGAAGGAACACGTCCCAAAATACCACGACTGGATGAAGGACCCAGCTCTCCTCCAAGCCACCGGCTCCGAGCCCCTCACCCTCGACCAGGAATACCAGATGCAGCTCACCTGGACCCAAGACCCCAACAGTACTCTCTCTCTCTCTCTGTGGTGTTTTTGTTGGTTTTTATGTATTGCCTTGCTTTTTCGTAACAAAAACTGAACTGGGTTTTGACTAATTGTGGATTCTGCAGTTAAAGGTTTGATCTTTTGGGAAAAAAAAGTGTTGAATTTAGTTTTGATAAACGATTGGGGGTTTTTTGTGTAGTTGTATTACTGGTTTGGTGAATGATTGAAAATTTGGAACTTGGAATTGGGTTTTGCAGAGCAGACTTTCATTGTATTGGATAAGCAATTGGTTGTGGGAGAGTTCAGCCATGGAGAACCCCATGTGGAAGGTTAGCCAAATTTACAGTCTTTCTTCACTAATTACTTTCTGATTGGTTGCTGAGAAAATTAAGGAGAATTTAGAATGATTACTTATCTTAAGGAGAATTAGAATGATTACTTATCTTAAGGAGAAATTAGAATGATTACTTATCTTAAGGAGAAATTAGAATGATTACTTACCTTAGGTATGCAAAGTACATATTTTTAAGAACAGTTTGTTATTAAAAAAGAGTGCTGTTAAGCCAATCCCAGTGTCTTATTTCCACACCCACCATAAAATGATACTCTTATTGACAAATTTATCCTAGTATAAAAAGACCTTTAAAGACCTAAAGACCAACCAATCATGTCTTGCCACATAATTATTAGTTAAATTGATTCTTTTTAAACAAATTATTAGTTATACTGATAAAAAAAAAACCTAAAATATCATAAATAAGAAAAAGAAAAAAATATCATGAACCCCCACAAGCTTTCCTGGGGAAGGAAGTTCAGAAATTAAACTTATCAGGAAGAGGGTGAATTCGGACTTGACAAAGCAAAGCCTCGAGGCTCACAATAAAGCGCATGTTGTGGAAGGTGTGATCAAGCTTCACCAGAGAGTAGAGCAAGTTAGTCTTCAAGACTATTATAATGTTGAGATAGATGAGGAGAGAAGCTCATAGTCCAGATTACATTAGGGGACTCACGGATCCGACACTCATTGAACTCTGATTGTGTTTGGTGTTTTGGAACAATTTGGATACCTACCATATACTGAATTTGGAGGAATTTGATGTTAGGGAAAGCTAATGCAACACCAAAATATGAGTGAAGCTCTTCCAATTTAATCACACTCTCTCTTGTGTGGTCTGAATTCAAATTGGAAACGACAGAAATTGGGTACCGAAGCGGTTTTCAAGACGTGGTGGTGCTGCGATGGTTGTTGATAGAGGAGGGGCGCTTGGTGTTGGGGATTTGGGGAGTCAATAGTGACGGTTCTGCAAATTTTCTGGGGAGAGGGCTGCTGCTGGTGATATTTGGAGTTCTTGGGTATTTTCATTTAATGATAATTGTTTTTTTTTTTAATTTGTAATAATTTTTTTAAAGCAAGAAAAAATTGAAAAAGAAATATGTAGGGTTATTTTGGAAATAATGGTGGGTGGGAAAAGAGTTGATGTATTTTTTCACTTTTTATGGTGGGTGTAAATATAAGGTGGGTGGGGAAATAAGACATGGGGGTGGGCATATCACCACTCTTAAAAAAAATGAACAGTTGGTTGGATGGTTTTAATTGAAATTCCTGAGAAGGTTGTTACTTTTCTAGTTTTCAGCAAGTAAACTTGGGAATTGTTAAGTTGTATCAGTTTACATGATATTGCTCGTGTTTTTATGATCAGTTTCTTTTTACTAGAAATCGAGGAGGAAACAACGAAAAAAAACATATTTTCAAAGAATTTTGTTTTGTGTTATGATTAATGAGTGAGTAACGTTATGATTAATGGTTTGCAGCCATGATTGGTGATGTGAACTTATATATGAATGACCTGGACGATCCCCACATGGGAGAGATTGAAATAATGATTGCTGAACAGAAATGGTACCTTCCTTTACTTTCTTCTGATGGTAAAAAACAGAAGTGATTGCGTTCGATTTAATCTGGTTTCCCTTTGTTTTTCTATTTGTGTATGTGCTTGTTCGTTTGAAGCATTCCAGCACCAAATATTTATGTTTCTTCCTCACTTAGTTTTCACTTTAGGGACTATTATATGTATGCTATAATGTAATTTTTCAGTATTTTCTCTTGCTAATTTAGTCGTGGTAAAGGACTTGGGAAGGAATCGGCCTTGATGATGATGGCCTTTGCAATTGAAAATTTGGCGGTCCACATCTTCCGTGCTAAAATTGGGGAACAAAATGGAGCATCTCTTAGCTTGTTTCGGAAATTGGTCCGTCTGTGTGTCTTTCTCCCTCTCTTTCTGATTTTCTCTTATCACAAACTCATGCAATGTTGGCCTCTCATATTCCCCTTGCATTTAATTTGCACTTGTTTTTCCTTGTGGCTCACTAAACTCTCATATGGTTGATGTAGGGCTTTGAGGAGATCTCTCGTAGTGAAATCTTCAAGGAGGTGAGTCCAATTATCCTTATGAAATTTGCATATGTGCACAGGCTTTAGTTGGTCTATGCAGTTGACATCTTAACGGAAATACTATTTCTAATCTTCTGAATCTCTGTATGACCTTGGAGTGGCTCAGACTGTCATTATTTCTTATAACAGATGTCTATTTACAATTTATGTGCACTGCCCAGCTTCACATCATAAAAATTTCCAATAGTTTCATGTTCTTAAAAGGGCCCTGATACCTGTATTGTAAAGAATAGGAATCGTTTTTTCTTTGATGATTTCGAGAATTATCTTTTGAATAATTTCTTCAAAATCCACAAACAATGGAAATTTAAACGTTCTACCGGAGAAAAAAGTTCAAGGTGCTTGGTTAATTTTATACTACATTCAGTGTTGGAGCATCATCCGTCCATTTTAACAAATTTCTTGTCATATATGACAGGTGACGTTGGAGTTACATGTAACAAAGGACAAGCATGAGGAGTTGCTGCAGATAGGTAGCTTCGTGACTCATACCTAGCCGTCAAGGGCCTATGATCATGCTAATTCTCCACTTCACAATCAACGTCAACTCTTTTGCCAGTGCTTGGTATGCAGAAAAGCTACGATGTTGTTTAGACTCTACCGTATCATAGAACTTAACCTTACTGAACAGGGCTATATCAAAATGTTAGGGCTCGAATTCACATTCAATCCTATTTTGAAGATGATTCATGATGATTTACTAATTTTCTATCCATTTTTCACCCTTCTTTATTTGACTTATTTCTTTTCACCAGCTGGTTGATTAGTAAACTATTGCTGTAAACACATACAGAGAAAACAAAGGGAGAGGGGAAGTAAGCAAAGCGCATGACTTTAGAGCGTACAAATGTGGTCGAAGTATTGGTAGTAAAGACGAGTAGAGTAGTTCATCCCGACGGTTTGAATATTTGGCCCGGAAGTTGGGTGAGTCTGAGGGGGTATTCTTTGAAACTGAATCCCAGCTTGCGGTATAAGATTGAATGTGGTGCTGTTAGCTAGTCTGCAGAGATGTTTGAAACTTGAAAGCAAGAGCTCCTGTTTGATTCATGGGCTGTAATGTAACTGGTTGTAGGTGTTGTATAAACTGCCATACTCCCGATACAACTGCGCAAAGAGCGATGATAGCCTTCTGGTTGGATCGACTGCCAATGCAATCCATCCTGTAGAAGCTTGAGTAGTTCTGCTAGCAAAATTTGGACGCGTCTGGTGGATGGGACGAAGGTAGGGTTGTTGTACCTGGACGTCACTGCAAGAACCGAAGATTCAGTTGGTCGAAAAGGTCAAAATCAGAGCAGGTGTTAGTTTTAGCAGACGAGGTAAGCACAAGAAAATGGAGAAACTGAAAATTTTCAATAAAATAAAATAAAATAAACAGGTCTTGCAGTTATTGCCATGGATTAATGGATATTGAGCTTGAAGTACAACATTAATTAATGAAGATAATGCGTGATTAAGTTATTAATTTGAAGTGTAGAATCAAGGGGGCAACAACAACTGGGCATATGCATTCCTCTTTCAAGTACAAAACCAGAATATATAGGTGTATGCGTACGGTGAATGGATGCTCGTTCTTTATTGTTATTTTTTTAAATGACGATTAGTTGTGGGGCCTCTACCACGTTACGATATGAATCGTCTATTTTTTTAAGTTGCAACTCAAAGATATCCTTGCAAATTATTAGCTAAATTAAAAATATTTAAGGCATCTAATTAAATTTAAAGAAGAGTAATGCTATTCATACCATATTTTTATACTATATTTCTATACCATAATAGGTGGCATATGATGTGGACAGTCACATCATTTGACAAATTTGCAAAACCCAAGGAAATGAAGGAGAAAGACTTATCGTATACCACAATTATTATTTAATTAATCAGTTTTTCTTAATTATTAGTTTATTAAATAATGAACTAAATTTAAAAACCTGATTAATTCAAATGATGTGGTTGTTCACATCAAATGCCACATAAGGTGGTACAAAAATGTGATACAAAGACATGATATGAATAACATTACTCTTTAAAAAAATTGATGAGCATTAGGTTATTAGAAACATTCAAATTTCATCATGAAAATTAAATGGGCAAAAAGTTTTAGATTTAATTGAATTTTCACAAGGATAATGTGTGAATTGAGAATTACAAAATAAACGGATCGGATCCCTAAAGTCCGATGCAAAGCAGGTTCAACAACTAATCTCCTTTTTTATCAAAAAATGGGAATCGCTTTCCTGTTGCCCTGAGACAAAGGCTCGTGGTAGAAGAGGTAGAGAAAGATTTGAAAAGAGACTCTAAGAAAAGTCATTGAGTGCCTAGAGCTAACGGAAGATTTGACGTAAAACCGAGCACAATAGCATTTTATAATTTATACAGCCGACCTCACTAGTGGAATAAGGTTTTTTTTATTGTTGTCGGGGAACCCTTTCTCAAAGGGGCTTGATATACATATATACACACAGACATAATAATACATGTATCAAATATAATAATATAATTTTGCATGCATGTGATGGCATGATGACTCCTCGGATCCCATCATCACACATGAACTAACCATTAGATCGATCGACTTTGGATATAAAATGACCATATTAATCCCTTGCCTGGTAAAAGTTGTCAATATAAATACACAGGAATGATATTTATCAAAAGTCGTTCTTTTTCAATATTATCATTATTTATAGGAGTAGTTTGAATTTGAACTTAGGTCTCTATAGACTTTGGAAAGAGAAATATTATTAGGTTAAGAGTCAACTAATTAAAAGTTGTAGAAGCTAAAAACACGACAAGTTAAAGAAATCATTAAACTTCAAAAAGAAACTATGATTTTCTATTTATTTTTAACATATGACAACCACAACTCACACAACTACGTAATATTACTAATTCGCATTTTTTAATATAAGTAAGCATAATGTTAATGTGTCGCCAACGTGTTAATAACATTAGGTAGCGTTTTGTGATAAGAAACTCTTCAAAAACGAAAAGGGTAGTGTAAATGTTAGAGATACGTGGAGGTTGTAGTGTAGGCCAGTAAGCAGTAACGATCGAGTGGAAGGACCAAACTCCCTTTCGTGGGGAGCACGAAGAAAGATGCTGATTGCTAATCATATTCCATGATCCCAATCTTACTAAATTTAATTAATCCAAAGCCCCTTCTTATTCTATTAAGTTTCTGAAAGTGACATTCTTTAAGTTAAAAACTTGAAATTCTTTGCTCTTGTTAAAAGCAAATGGAGGCTTTATTTTTTTTATTTTTCCATTTCAGTGGTGAAATTTTGAAATTATGAGCAAGGTACCTAAATTAACATTCAACTTTGAATAGAGCAGCGTTGTCCTTTACATGCGAGTTCGAATTCTTATTCACAGATCTTAAAATATTGTCTTGTCCAATAAAATATATCATCGATTGCAAAAAGTCTAACTGAATAATGTGATACTTTTTATTTTATATTGCATTATTCATATAAAAGAAGTAATTTTAAACTTCTTATATGCACCTTCCTTCTCTCTAAAGACCTTTATTCTCTCTTTTTTTTTTCTTCTCCTTGTATTCTTTTCATATTTGCTTGAAGCTTTAAAGTGTTATTGGGTGGTGGAGATAATGTGAAGTAGCAAATAAGGTTGGTGGTAATTTTGGGTGATGGACTTGAGTTAAAATCTTCTGCACTCATTTTGTATGCGGTATCTTTTGTGTCATTATCATTAATTGACACGTATTAATAAAATTAATCATCTTTAACTTTGTTATCATAAACTTAATACGTATCAATCAATAATAAAGACCACAAAGAGGGCACACACAAAATGGATGCAGAACATTTGATCTCGATGATATATACGTGTATGTTTTTCAAAAGGGTGTTTGTGTGTTTTCTTTAATTGTTGAACTATTATCAAAACTAAAACTACATGCTTCTATTTCTAGTAGTGAACTTTTGATCTCATCGAAAAATAAAAGGCTTCAAAACTTCTAGTTTCAATGTATGCTTGTTTATTTAGAGTACAAGTTGATCTTAAAAATGGTTGAATTCTAATTAAGTAATATTTTGTGTACTTAGTTTGAAAAACTCAAAACAATATTTAAATCATGTAAAATGGGACAAGAAAAAGGATAATTAATGTACTTTGAGTGATATAAAGGGGGAATAGTATTCATGGCCAACAATATCAATGGATGGTCACCAACCATTCCTATTAACAAAAAGTACAGAGGAAAGTCGATTGGTTTAGAAGATTAATAAATTAAATGTTGATTTTATTTTTGTTTGATTATTTCTAATTTAATATTTGGGTTTTGTAGTACCTTTTCTTTCAATGAAAAGTTAACGTTTGGGTTTGGAACATGCCAACTAGTTTTAAATTTAACATTTTATGAATGATGCTACTCATCACCAACTCCACGTTGGTCACTCACTCTTTTTAAATATTTTCATTATATTTTAATTTTGCATCAAGTTATCTTAATGCAGAGTATTCAAGAGAAAATATATAAGGGATGTAGTCAAATTAGGATTTGATGAGATTTTAATAGACTTTAAAATCAATGTGTAGTCAGTTATAAATTAAAAAGATTATTTTAAAAGATTTTGAAATCATAGTATTGTCAAATTAAGATTTTAAAGGATTTTAAAGAATGCATTCAAACCCAGATGTAGTTGATTAGGGTACATCCAAATCCTAAGTATGAAATGCCAAAGATTTACTAGGATTTTAATGAGCGAGGAATTTTGATGAATTTGAAGGTGAATGGTATAGATACCAAATGCCATCAAAACTCCAACCATCTCCACTTTGATTTCGTTTCACGCCCCCATAAGCTTAGACAAAAAAGAACCTGCCAACCTCTTCGTCCAATGATCTTTAGGGTTAGCCACCCTCATCCCTCTTCGCAACCGATCCACTGCTACTCTAACAATGGTACAATCCCAATTGAAATTCTAACCCTAACAATTTCAATGTTATTGTAGAATTTCCAAAAAAAATTGAAAGGAACCTATGTATTCAAAAATACAAAATTATGGCCTCCTTTAGTATGTGTTTTGGATTCATACAAAAGATTTGGATGGGTTCACTTCTTTTTTTAATTTTGTGGGCTGAAATTATTATTTTCAAGTTTAATTTTATGATTGACTGGATTTGAAGTGGCTGGTCGCGAGTGGTTGTTGGTTTAAAGGGGGAAATATTTAGATGACAGAGAAATATAAAGGAGCAAGAGCCCCCAAGTTGGTGCTAGAAGAGAGAGAGAGAGATATATATATATATATATATATATATATATATATAAATTGGTAGTTGCCGATTTTTTAAGTGATTTGGAGTCTAAGAAAATCCATCAAAATCCAATAAAATTTGTTATATGAATCTTCTTAAATATTTCAAAATCTATATGAACTTTGTAAAATTCTACATAATTCTATCAAACCCATCGCTTAACAAAATCTATTAAAATCCTCTCATCTTATTTGACTACACCTAGGTAAACAAAAAACAAACCTTGTAATTGCCATAGTCGTAACAAAGACCGCTTCCATGGTTAAATTTGGTCATGCAATAATTCCATCATCCGCAACAACAACCTTCTTTCAATTAGTCTAGTTGACCTTCAATTTGGTTCAGAGCTTTTTAGAGCATCTCTAAACGAGATGTCAAATTGTCCAAATCAGCAATAACGGTAACAAAAGACAACATTAATGTTTTCCAATCGAGAAACCAAATC